CATAAAAATAATGTTTTGTTACTCAATTTGAAAGTAATTTGTAATGTCTGCTTCATAGAACTGTATTTGTGGAAAGAAAGTGACTCTTCTAAAATTAGAAGTCTAAATAGTGCATCTGGAAATTTCAGTAGGTGGCAAATCTTTCAGAGTATTTTGCATTTGCATTGTTTCACAATACTTAATACATGTTCAGAGTTTGCAGGTGTCTGGGTTGATCAACTTTACATGCAATTTTCTCATTGGTAATGTTTTAAGTTATGGTTAACATACAGGGAAAGAGTAATGCAAAATTTCATGGTTTTACCTGTTGATCTTGCAGGCTGTTTGGTCAGATTTTGGTGATGTTTGCCTGTTTTGTAGGAAAGAGCTGAAAAAAAAGTTAAATCTCCATTAATACTGGTGGAATAAAAATTGCTTCCTGTACTCATGTTTGACAGTTGATTTAATTCTGGGTACGTCTCCAGAAGTAAGAATTTAGAGCTCTTTATACTCTAAGTAATGTCAAAGTATTTGTCTGGTTCTTTTGGAACTTTTTTCCCTCTACGAAAGTAGGAATGTGCATTTTCAGTACGCTGGTGGGGAAACATAGGAGAGAGTATTAATTCTAAAAATAATTGCACAGGTTTAAATGATAGTAGCTTTCCAAAAAAAAAAAAAAAAAGGGTTTTAATGTTTTTTTTTCATAAACCCCTTTTTCTGCTGAGTCAGGAAAGCAGTGAGGTCATGGTGGGTGCATGAGAACTGACCTGAATATTAATAGACCTAGCTACATGCTTCAGTGTTTCCTTAAATGAAAGCACCCTTACCTAGGCAGGATGATTTTCCCTTTTTCTATTTTTGCAACAAACATCTGATAATATGTCTTCTTTAGTAAAATAAACTGTGCAGTCTTTTCTGAAAATGTACCCTTGAACTAGCACTACCTGTATTTGCTGCCACAGCAGCCCCCAGCTATGTAGCCTCATTGAAAAGATAGTGTGCTTTCCTAGCTTTAGAGTAAAAGCTCTTTTTACTCAGCATTGAAAGAACATTTAAGTTTGTTTTTCCAAATGTCAAGTTACTTTAGAAGTATTACATGACTGCCTCAGTTCTCAAGTGTTCCTTGAAATACTGAATTTATTTTGTAAACTCTTTGGGACAGAAACCCTCATTTTGCCTTGCCTGTGGACAGTGTTTATCCCAGTGGCAACTATAATCTGAGTCCCAATGCAACCCGATACAATTTATTTTACAGATAAAGTTATGTTGGAAAGTCAGCTCTCGCTTAGGTCTTTCCAGTCCTGTGCTGAATATTGCTGTGTACGTTAATTGTGTAACATCTAAAAACATGGATCTGGAACTGAGCATCCCGGATTCAGGAATAACGTGGAATATTTTATTTTCTACGACAAAATGTAATCCTTGTGTTTTGCTCTTGAGGCAATGTGTCAATAGGGGCAGGCATTGCAAGTTGTATTTGTGAGGAAAGCAGAGTCCCTCTAGGTTTGTGTCCGTCACTCAGAAATACAACTGTGGTCTGTAGAAAATTGCTATTAACACCTGCAAGTGCAAATCTGCCCTAAAAGGGTGTCGCTGTTCCACCTCCAGCTTTGTGAGAGCTGAGAGGAGGGAGGAGCAGGCTACACTCCTACAGACCAGGACTGTATGTCCTAGAGGATTCTCTTCTGAACTCTACAGAGGTGGTCTCAGTCTCTATATCAACACAGCCAAGTCTGGGATGTTCAGATTCTCAAACACACCAGGGTTTAGTGAGTGGGAGCCAACCCCCTCTGTTTAGTGGCCAGGGGGAGTTAGATACTAGTGCTAGCATGTCCTTTGGAAGTGAGGAGATGCCAAAGCCAGCTACTAGGGAAAATGAAAATGGGAAGCATCTCTCAAAACTCACTTGTCTGGAAATTGGACACCAATTGCAGCTGTGATAAAAGTACGTCTGCAAGACTTGCCACTTCAGCTATGACTATCAGTCATAGCTTAAATCCTTTCCTTTATTCTGCTGTCTGAGATCAGACTGTCTGTGTAGTCTGATTGGGTTTACTCTTCTCTTCAAAAACACAGTCAGCAGGGCAGTAGTTTTGGTGATAATTGTGTCTTGTGAGATAGTTTAATAGCTGCTAACCTAGAAAGCGGGACCATGTTCTACATCTTAGCCTGAAGTTTAAATCCGTATTCCCTTACTACGGAAGAAGAAACTAAGTTGGCTGGGAAGGTGCTAAACTGCTCCTTTTGAGTTTAAGACAGGGTACAGAAAAGAGACAATGTGAGAGGAAGGAAGAGAAGAACTGTTATTCTTGGCCAGTAAGGACAAAATCTTAGGCTTTGATTCTTCTCCAGACATGACTTCGGCATTTAGAGTTAAGGACTTGGGAACAGAGCACACAGTGATGCTGTAGGCAGGGACTTGGAAACAGGCTGTGTATCCATCCCAGGTTGTTTATCTTGTACCAAGTACAAAATGAACATGAACTAATTAGGCAATAGTAGCAAATAATAATGTGAACAAAAGGATTTTGAAGTTCGATGTAGCTTTCAAGCTAGCAAAACAAAACAAAAAAATCATCCTGAGTGGGGTCAGCAACATCACAGCTTAGAAACTCATTGCTTTCCATCTCACACAGATGGAAAGCGATGTATGGGATCTCTGTGTATGGGATCCACTCTGAGCTAGGGTTTGCATTATTTATCCTCTTGCTGAATTTTCTTTTCAAATTCTGATAAGTGCATCTTGTTACACAGATGGAGCTTTTTTCTTTAAAACTCTTGTCCTCAAACATGCATACTTCTCTCCTGTCAATACGCATGATCCTACAGAGTTCTCATCTGTCTATCATCTGCTGATGATCCTACAGCATCTCACCACCTGCCATGCTGAACCTTGGAGTTCCACACAGGTAGATGTGCTGCAGGAAATTAATTTGCAAGGAGTGTGTTACAGCCAGTTCAGATTCTTCTGACAGTAGTCTCCCCGTGTTAATTACCATGTTCAGTACATTTTTCTTCTTGATATTATCCAGTTCTCTTTTGTGGTTTTGTTGGTATTCTAGGAGAAAATAATATGTAATACACATCCAGTCCTGAAAATTGAGTTTAATGTTGTAAGTGTAGGATGTCTACGTTGGGTTCCTGCAAATGATTTTGCTATTATTCTTTGCTTTAATGATTAACTTAGAAGTAATTGTACCTTGTGGATTCATTTAACTGTCTTTGTATTAATTTCAGAACCTAAGAAGATGTTACCACAGCAGCTTTTCAAAGTTGGATTTCAAAACTACTTTTCACGCTATTCCATTTTTATCAGGAGTGGATTCTAACTCAATAGACTTCTCAGTTTTGATGCCAGCTCAGTTTTATCTGTGTGCTTTAGTATATGTCTAACTGAATCAAGCCACTCTTCTGTTTTCCAACATTAATTCCATTTCCCCGTAGTATTATCCACTAGCAAAAAAAAAAAAAATCCAAAAGGTTTCCCACTCTGGAGTGAGTAACAGGTACATAAGACCACTCTCCTTGAAACACAAAGTCCTACCACTAGACATTAACTCAGCTTTTACTCACGCCAGTGCCATGCTTACAAGCTTTTACAAGACTTTGGGACTTGGTTTGGGAAGCTGGCTGTTTTACTGCCTGATACAACATTGCTCAGATCGAAGCATTTCAGCAGTTTGCCTAGACATTACTTACAGTGCAGTGTCAGGGGAAGACTGTTGTAGAATTAGAAAGCCAGACCTGTGTTACACTATAAAATGTACTTTCAGCAAGTAGCTTCTTTCCAGTTTAGCAATGCTGGCTTCAACATGCCCGAAGTTAGGACTACACTAGAATGCTTTGAAACCAAGGCCATTGAGAATATCCACGGCTGAGTAGTTCATTGAACAAATATTTTATTTGATGCAGTACTCTCAGCATGTGCCCTCAGTGCCTCTTTGGTGTTAGTTGAAACATTAGCACTGATCCTAAATTTGAAACATCTCCCAAGGTGAGGAGGACACATGGTTCACTTTGCTTCTGCAAGATCTTTCCTAGACTGTCCTCCATACATGATATGTATGTACTTAGTGTGCAGGGTAGACTTTTTCAGCCCCAGCCCTATCTGTAATCCTAAATTACAGCAGGGCTGCCAAGGAGTTAATTTCCTCCAACTCCCCTCAGGCAAATGAGAAGCTGCAGCTCCAGGCCACCTTCTGTCATTTCAGGTGTGACGCAAAGAACCCACGGGCTCCAAAACACTTCTTCCCACCGAGACAGCTGGGTGAACCAAGGGGCAGTTCAGAGGGCTGATGCAGCTTATCGGGTGTTTGTATCTCTGCATGGAGCCGATTCCCAAAGCTTGGATCGTGGGATGCAGCAGGGCTTTGGAAACTCAGAGGTTTCTGTGTGGGCCAAGCAGCGCATGGTGCAACCAGTCCTACCTTGTCCCCTCAGGCTCATCTTCGCAGCGAGCAGGGCGGCAGGCCGCCGGTGGGCAGGCGGCTCCTCAGGGCGGCTGGTGGCGTGGGACGAGGCCACCCACCTGCCCGTGGGGTGCGTGTGCGTGCAGGGAGCCCCGCTCCACACGCCCCCGACAACGACCCGCATCCCGCGCTGTACCCGGGCGGCACGCCTGCCGGGCGGCCGGCTTTGAAATGCAGCCCCCCCGCCCCGAGGGGACGAGGCGGGAGCGGGTCGCGGGGGGGCGGCGGTCGCCGCCGCGGGGCTGGGAGGGTCACTCCGGGGCAGGGCTTGCGAGGGGGCCACCGGGGCTGGAGGGGGAGGGCGGACGGAGGCGTCGCCGGGGCCTGCCCGGAGCCGGGTCTCTCTGTTTCCCCGTAAATAAAGCGCCGGGCCGCGGCCGGCCGTATAAATGCCGCTGCCCGACGGCGGAGAGCGGGAGCGGGCGCAGGGAGAGCCGTCGGCGGGCGGGCGGGCGGCGGGGGCCGCGCTGAGGCGGCGGTTCAGGACGCGGACAGCTCTGCCGCGGGCCGGGGGGCGGCGGGCGGGCGGCGGGCCGCCAGGGGGTGCCGGTGCCGGTGCCGGCGCGGGCGCCGCTCCGCGCCCCCCGCCTCAGGCGGGGCCATGGCCGCGGGCGAGCGGGCGGCGGAGCCGCTGGCGGAGCTCAGCCACTACGTGGTGGCGCGGCCCATCTACAGCGAGGCGGGCTTCCAGGAGGAGAACGAGCGGAGTCCGCCGCTGCCGCCCACGCTCCGCGAGCGGGCGCAGGCGGCCTGCAGGTGGGTGCCGGCGCCCGGGGAGGCGGCGGGAGGGGGGGGGGGCGGGTGTCCGTCAGGCCCGCGGGGGAGCGGTGAGGAGAGCCGGCGGGTGGCGGGGGACGCGCTGCCCCGGCGCCGGTAAACTCCACCCGCCGAGGGGTGAAGGGGCGCAAACAACGGCCGTCTGGCGACCGACCGGTTTCGGCTTCCCTGCGCCCCTGGCACCGGCACACGCCCCCTCCCTCTCTGGAAGACGCGGCCGTGCCCATCGCTGCCTCTCGACATGTGCATCGCCCCAGCTGCCGGTCCGCCCGGGGCCGCGGGGGGGCCTTCCGGCTGCAGCCCCGAGGGGCTCATCAGCGAGTTCACCACTTGTTTTCCCGCAGATGTTCGAGGAGAAGGGCCTTTCAGATTACCAAATCCTTTCTGCCCATCCTGGAGTGGCTGCCCAACTACCGGGTGAAAGAGTGGCTGATCAGCGATATCATCTCGGGGGTCAGCACCGGCCTTGTCGCCACTTTGCAAGGTAAAGCCGGGCACGTCGGCCCTCCCTTCTTGAGGACGCTTCTATAAGGGAGCCGGCTGAACACAGGGATGTTCTGCAGATGGAATTACAAATCTGAGACTTGTTATTTAATACTAGATATTAGATATTATTTTTCAATAAATAATTGATGGTTTTAATGTATTCTTTTTTCCCCACTGCTTGGCTAGAAGATCTACATTTCTTTTGATGTGCTATCAATGTGTATTTACCTTTTTTTTTTTTTTTTTTCCCAAACCTTTTACTCAGAGTATTCATTTTGATTTTTAAAAATTTAATTACATTGTGGTAGATCAGATAGATCATGTGGTCTTATTTCTCTTCCTTGGTTATCTGATCCTACAGCTCTCCTGCAGCTGCCTACAAAAATCTAGTTATTCCCCCAAAATAATGCAAACTTGATAACTACTCTCCTTTAAAACTTGGCCCATAAGATTGTTCAGGTCTCTGCAGAAAACAACATCCAGGGAGGTGGTGGCGTATCCATTGAAGATGAGAATCTTCCCTCTTCATCATATTAAAAAAATTGATAAACTTGATGGATACTTACAGTACATGGCTTGCAATATTGATTTTTCCTTATTTCTTTATTCCATTTATTAGGAAAGCATTCAGTAGATGAACAAAGAGAAAAGCAGCAGAAATAAGCAGAAATTAATTAAAATAAGCTAGGTAAGGAAGGCTTAAAGGGCAGAACCATTCTGCCCACAGCAGCTGATGAGGTCCACTTTCATAGACAAGACTAGCAATAACCCTGACATAATTCAGTACATTCATTTCTTTCATCTCACTAGTGTTCTTACACTGTTTTCACAATTTTTCAGGACTGGGGGAGGTTAAACTAGCTGCGTCAACCCGGCATTTTCCCTCAATAGAAATTAAGTGTCTGCACAAGGGGGCAAAAATTCACGTTGGGAACAAAGCAAGCAGTTTACGCATTCCCAATTAGCCACAAGCATTCCCTACTGTCTGTTCCCTTGGAGCATGCTAGGGAGGCACAGACTGGCAGAAAAAAAACATTACAAACTTCTGCCCCAGGCAGAGAGTGACTTGAGGAATGACGAAGTGATTTGTCCACAGTCCCGTGGAGAGTCTGTGTCAGTGCTGGAAGATCTCTGCCGAAGGTAGTGCCACAGTTACAGGACTCCCCTGCCTTTTTAAAATCAGCTGGGCTAGATGGACTTATCAGATGACTTATAGCAGCTATTATTCTCTTACTGTAACCTCATTTAGTTTTTTACAGTGGGGTCTGATTTTCCCACAACTAGATTCCACTTGTAAAACTGGTTTCTGAAATGCACTGTTTGGTCTCCCACCTATGTATTAAAAAAAAATAAAAAAATAAAAAAACCTCCCAGCAAATCAGTGCAAATCTTAATGTAGTTAAAAAAAATATATATAATAATTCTGAAAATCTAAATCATGCAATACAGGAAAAATCAGCCAAAATGTTTGCCAAAAAAGAGGCTTCTGGGATCCTGAAATCCTTGCAGTCCCTGACTCCCAGCAATTGTGTGTTGCTTGCAGACCTCCCACCAGTCACAGTAGTATGGCCAGGACTTCAGTTGTTTTGAGCTCTGACAGGTTTTTGTGGTGTCTTTGATCCCACTACACCCAGCAGTGGGAGCTAACCAGGATATAACACTGAAGGCAAATTTTTTCTTTCTTTTTTTTTTTTTCCAATTGTTTGTTGGATTTGATGGCTTGAACAGGTATACAAAGGAAGATGATGATAAGGATCAAAACTGTCAAATTTTTGTGATTTACTTTTGGGTTTTAAGTTTATAAGCTGATACTGAAAAAAAAAAAAAAAAAGGTGGCCTGATTTTCAGAGGGGCTGAACATACTGAAGCATATTTGTAGTGCAATAATTCAGTCTGTGCTTGAAATTTCTGTCTATAACTAGAACACTTCACGTATCCCTGTTTTCTCTCAAGGGGCAGACCATTCACTCTTACAACAGTGTTCCCCCACTTAAACTTCACATCCGAGCCTGTGTTTTGTGCTACCTATGCAAATATGGGAACATCTTTCAGTACTTATCCAACTACCAGTGTGGGATATACAATCGTTTACAGTCACTGATACTCACATATGTGCCTGCAACTGATTTACAGGCAAAACACATTCTAAATTGTGTCTGGACAAAAGGAGTAGATCTTTCTGAAAGTCTATTCTAGAGAAGATAGCCATTTGTTTAGAGATTTTAAATCTGACATTTTGATTATCTGTCATTTCAGGTTTGGCATATGCTTTGCTGGTTGCAGTTCCTGTTGGATATGGTCTCTATTCTGCCTTTTTTCCCATCCTGACATACTTTTTCCTGGGAACATCAAGGCACATCTCAGTTGGTAACTGCATGCTTTCAAGTTACAGTGAATTATCTATTGCAAAATGTTAATCGTTACTGTGAACATTAATTTTTCATAAAAGATAAGTACTTTCTGAACAAAACTGGTTGTGCTGAATTTTAATATCGGTGGGTTTGGAGGACTGAAGGATTATTTCTTCTCTGTACAGTCAATTGTGCATAATAGCTAACTTCATTTGTGCCCATGCATGCTTTTTGCTTGCATTTATGCTGAAGTTTAAATCCTGTCTTTGGCTATACTCTATGCAAGAAATTACAAGATCAAGGCCGCAGTAGTCAGTATGAACAGATATTTTGTCTATCAGCTAAAGCTCAAGATGGCTAAAACAGAGCTCTTTTAGTCTTCTCTACAAGCCTTCCTTGCCGCATCTTTTTTTGATCACTGTGGACAGTATCACCTTCTTGCCTGTCGCGGAGATCCAGAACCTGTGTGTCTACTCCAGCCTCGCTCTAGGTCCTCACATCAAGGCTATGGGTAAACCTTGTTGATTCTTTCTGAATGCTTTCTTTAAAGTACGGGTTTTATTTCCTATCAGTTCTCACATTCAAAATTCATGTTACAGCTTGGTCACTGAAGTTTCTTTTTCTTCATTCTAATGAAATACAGTCTTTCCTTGTTCATATCTACCAAGAATAGATTGTTTTCCACTCCCAAAGCTTTGGCATGATACATCGCTTTTTCATCAACTTTCTTCTCTGCTGCATCAAATACATCTGCATATTTTCTCCACCTTGTTAGCCTCTTCCTACCCTACCTATCAGCTCACATTTGCTATCCAGGTCTGAGCTGTCACCTCTACTTATGTTGACATTCCTACTCTCTATATTGTCAAATGCTCCTTTTTATGCTTTCTCCAATACTCTTATTCATGAAATGTACTCTACGGTATCTGTAAAATTAACTTGTCCTTCTTTAGGACATTTCATGACATTTTCCTTTTCTACATAATTTTAGTAAATAACTGCAACAAATATGATTACTTTTAGATTGTGTGTTGCTGACACAATGATCACTTACTCTCTCTGTATCTTGCCCAAAGTATAGTTTCAGTCATCTTTAGCCGATGTAATGCCACACTACTGCCAAAAGATGTGGTCCTACCCCTTGGTGCATGTTCCTGCCACTACCAGGTTGGACTTCCTGACCATGAAGCTACGTAGCTATCTGGATTAGCTGAAAAGTAACCATGACCAAAAAATAAAATTAAACGTTGCTTTCAGCTGGATCAGTGATCTGTTTTGTCTGGTTGTGGTGCTGATACAAGGGAGATGATTGGAACCTGTTGCCCCTTTTGGCCTTGGTACAGTCCCGAATTGGTCTAAGCAAAGCATGAAACTGCACCTGTATGTAGAACATACATTATTTAAAGAAGGAATTGTACCTTTGTGTCACGTTTGCAGAGCCTGTGGCTCCTGGCTCCTAATAATACTAATGTGCCACAGTTAAAATATTAAATGGGTTTTCGGATCTAGAGATTGCTTGTCTGGTCTGATAAATGCTTCTTTTCAATGTACATTAAACTTTAGTGTGTTCTGTTTGTCATTACAGGTCCATTCCCTGTAGTCAGTTTGATGGTGGGATCTGTTGTATTGAGCATGGCCCCTGATGATAATTTTCTCATAGATGGCAGTAATGCTACAGGGACTAATGGTACTGGGACACTGATAGACACTGAATCCAGAGATGCACAGAGGGTGCTGATTGCTAGTACCCTCACATTTCTGGTTGGAATATTGCAGGTAAAATAGTTGGCTTGAAGACACAAGGTTGATAGCTTTAATTTTAATGGGAAAACATACAGCATGGAAATACCTACTAGGGCAGTAAGACATTTTCCTGTAATAAAACACAAAAATGAAGGAAAGTCATCTCAAACTCTGAAGAGCTTTTGGGGGATTATTCTTCTTATCCTGGGCAGAGTCTGTGGCAGCATGACTGGGAGCACAGACAACAGAAGAATTGCCCTGTGGTTGCAGACTGAGAGACCTGCATGAAACTAAGTGCTAATTGTGCATATCCTGGAGCATCCTTTCTCACATTTCTTCAGGTCTCCTTTATTTCCTTGGATGGCATGATATTAAGCTACACTAGGCTGCAATGGGGGAAGACGGTCCTAAGACTCTGTATCAACAAAGAGAAAAGAACAAAGCATAAGAAATCACCAAATAAAAGTGTACCCTTTTGTTGTTTAGCAAGCTGTTATTCTTCATGATTTTTCCAGGTAATATTTGGAGTCCTTCAGATTGGTTTCATTGTGAGGTACCTTGCAGATCCACTAGTTGGGGGATTCACAACTGCAGCTGCTTTTCAAGTGCTTGTGTCACAATTGAAAATAGTCCTAAATGTTTCAACTAAAAACTATAATGGTGTCCTTTCCATAATATATGTAAGTATGCCCTTCTAATCTGTTTTGGTTTCATGCCAGAATTTTTGTATAATTGTTTATTTTCTGCTTCCATTTCATACAGGAATGGTTTATATATATGGTGGTAAGTATAGGGGCATTCATTTAGTTCTCAGTCTCATGAAGATCTGAAGCTGTTCATTTATAGCTGTGGGGCTCTAAGCTGCTCTCAGAGTTCTCCAGGCAGGAAGTCTAACAGCCATCTTGAAGTCTTTTTCAGGCAGAGCAGATTTTCACATTAAGTTTAAATGTAATTATCCAACAAAACAGTTATTCTCTAGGTTGTTACTTCTGGAGAGTACTTTCTGTCCCACCCCTTGCTTTCTAGCTTATTGTGAAGGATATTTCATCATTTCTTAACACTGTCAGGTCATCTCCCAAAGCTGACTGGTCCCAAGCCTTTTTACTCTTAAACCAGCAGGTCATTCTGGTAAAGGGCATCATTCTCCATTCCACACTGTAGCCATATTTGTGAATACCTAAAGATATATGTGGATTCCCACCCTGCAGCCAGGTACCTGCCAGTTAGCTAAGGTGAGGCTAAATATTGCTGTCACAACTCCATTTGTTGATCTTAGAGAAAATGATCAAATGGAGAAATATCTTGGCTGGATTACAGAAATACTGAATTCCTAGAGGTCTCATATTACAGAATAGGCTGCTTCCCCAGAAAAATTGCTGAGTTTTGTCACGAACTTCAGCATGAAACTATTCAGGTTCATAGTATTTTAGATCTTCGTAGCACTTCACATTAGAATAACAGATTTCTAAAAGAGGCTGTTCTAGACCAAAAAATGTATTTATAGAATTGACATGCCAAGTCAGGCAACCAAACTAGCAAAACCCCATTAAACATCTAGATTAGTAATAATAGGATGAATATAACTACAGACAGCAAGGTAAAATTTAGAAAAAAATCTGGTGGACTATTTAAAAAAAAAAAACAAACGTATTATGTTATGAGCCTTTTCAGAATTGATGAAAACTCTTTCCCCCAGAACAAGGAATATTAAGTGAGACGAAGTATTATCTAATAGACCTTAGAGCAGACCTGGCAGGGTGATGGACTTGTTAGTCCAGCAGGTTTTTCTATCTCTATCATGTTTATTGAAGTGTGGTACATTTAATAGAAAGTCTTTTTGAAAAGGAGTTATATAGTTCTTCCAGCTCCTGCAAACATGAGTGGAATGCTGACTTTTTACGTGAAAGCTCAAAGCTTCTGTGTGAGCCAAGTCAGTGTGTTTGCAGATGTGCGTAGAGCAAAGCAATTGTGATTTCTGGTCTGCTCAACCAGTGACTTGCTGTCTCAGCTTCAGCAAGTTTTGGACTTGCTCAGAAGTGGTGTTTAATAAACTGCAACACTGAGCATCCAACATTAGCAGAATTCACAATCCCAAAGTTAGGAAGTTACTGTTCCCCTGTGAAGTGCGGCTGTACGAGAGATGGTCAGTAAGAATGGGATCCATCCCAAGCAGTACAACAGACAGGAAATGGCTTGTCACCCAAAGAAAGGCATTTGATGCAGTGTTTCAGGAAGGCTTTTTCTTTAGTTTAGAAAACATAGCTGATTAAGCAGTTAGACATTTTATTTCAAAACTAGAGTCATTACAGAGTGGTAGTAGTGGTACTGATGCTGCAACCCTCCCCTTGCCTTTAAACTGACATCTCAGTATCTGGGCAGCTAACCAGGATGCAAGAAGTCTGTTTCTATCCTCTTTTCTACCAGATCATTCTGTTAAACCTGCTTATTCTATGCATAGAATAATTACATTTTCTTGGAGACAGGGGGCAAGCGAGAATTACCCTGATGCCTAGTAGGAGGACAGTGGAGTATTTGTAACTTTTCTGTAATCAGACTTTCATGTTTTCTCTGTACACTTGTTTGCAATAAACAGTAAGATCAAGCAAAGGCACAGCAAGGGTAGGGAAGGGAGCTGCCTATTGCAGCCCAGTTGTAAGAATCCTCCAGCCAGGGACTGAACTCTGCTGAGAGGGTTAATGTACCGTAAGGTGAGGTTTAGTGACTGCTTTTCCCAAGTGTAGGATTCTCCGCAGCCTGTCAGGACCCATGTGTTCATACTCATTCTCTGGATGTCAGCAATGGAAATAGGAAACATGTAATCCACAGACCATATGTACCGGGCAGGTCGTGAACAGGAGTTTTGCCCATGGGTCTGCTAGCTGTTTTTTGAATAGAAAAATCAGGATCTCCCTTGTTATTTGGACAAAGTGAAGAAGCTCTAGATCTTCCCTGCCTTGCTTTGAGAACAGGTAGAGGTAAAAAACAGGTAGGGGGTTAGCTCTTCTTACTTGGTATTAATTTCCTAAAAAACAGAAATCAGAAGCCCCCTGTGTGGACAATTCTTGCAGTTACACTTTTACAGTTAAATTCACCATTAAATCCATTCCCTCATTCTGTAGCACCTTGACAGTATGTTATCCTCAGGCTCCTCCAGACCTGGACAAAGAAGTAACTTGTCCTCCTCCAAAACACCATGTATCTAGATCTTCTCATGAGTATTTTCACATCCTTCAAGTGGACATGGGCATGTTTTATGTTGTCATTTTTATTTTTCAGACTCTTATTGAAACATTTGAAAAAATTGGTACCACCAACATTGCAGATCTTATTGCTGGACTCCTCACCATTTTTGTCTGCATGTTAGTTAAAGAAATAAATGATCGATTCAAACACAAGATACCTATACCTATACCAATAGAAGTTATTGTGGTAAGTAAAGGAGCATAACAAAACCTGACAACATATCAAATAGATTGGGCTAGCTACAAGAAGACAAGAACACTTTTTAAGTATTAAAACTGTTGTTTTATTTCATTACAGACAATAGTAGCCACTGGCATTTCATATGCTGCCAACTTGGAAAAAAAATACAATGCAGGCATTGTTAAGAGCATTCCAAGAGGGTGAGTGCCTTTGTTTTCTGGGAAATAAGTATTATTTTAATTGGATAAAAATGACAGTGGTAAGAGAAAAGACATAAAAGAGGTATTGAGAGCTGTAACCTGAGTTTAGAACTCGGAGCTGGAGATTTCCTGAGGTTTTCTTCTGACTCTGTCAATTATGACACCTCAATACATTACCTAGCTTTCCTTCATCTGTAAAATGGGCATAGGAAATCTTCCTGATTCATGAAGTTCATCTGAGAATTAATTGCTTCATGATCCATGCTCATGAAGTAAATAGATGACTGTGGAAAATGTAAAAAAAAAAAAAAATGATTTTTAATAATGAAATTCTGCATAGATTTAATTTCTGTAGACCTGATTTATCCCATGGCGGTGCTGCAGCTGTTATCCCAATCAGTCTTGTCACTTCCATAGTCATAGGAGCAAGGATGTTGAGGATTACACTGCTAGAGACTTTCACTTGAAAGATTCAGAGCACTTCACAGTAGTAACCTTCACATTCCATTTGGTATTCAGGGCTTGATTAATTAAAATTTGTGGAAACACAGTAGGGGATAAAATGTTTTTGAGAACTTCTGAAGAAATATGCTAACAGTAGTGTGAAGTGTCATTAACATATTTATGTAATTCATGATACTATTCAATACATCCTTTATTCAGTGCTTCAAAAAATGTACTTTTTCACTTTGCTATCATAAGGCCAAATCTCAGCCATGCTGAGAACAATGGGAGCTTTGTTGCTGACTAATAGCATCAGGATTTGGGCTATGGTGAGCTAGATAAGCGTGTTCCGTATGTCAATGGGCTGTTTCCACCTTTTTATTAACTTGAAACATTACACTTCATATTATAAGCAACCTGTATGCCTCTGCCTCAAACTCCTTGACAATTCTAGTAAGAACAGAATTTGATCAAAGTTGATAACACTAATGTATTTTCTAAATGCTAGATTTTTGCCTCCCGAAGCTCCAGATGTCAGCCTGTTTTCCCAGATGATAGCAGCCTCCTTTTCCATTGCTATTGTTGCTTATGCGATTGCTGTGTCTGTGGGAAAAGTATATGCAACCAAGTATGACTATGCTATTGATGGAAACCAGGTATGTATAACCAAAATAGTTTATAAACGTAGTGAATTTAAGTTCTGTTTCTTGTTGACTTATGTAGTCAAATAAACGAAACATCATTCACACACATTTTTCAGACTAAAGTTGTCTGACAGGAGAAATTCTTTCAACTATTGAAAACAAATAGCTGAAATGGCTATATATTACCTAACAAATCTAGCACATAGAGATGAGCCAAATGTGCTCTATCTTCAGTATGAGCTTTTCATACTAATTAACTCCTTCTGTATTGCTTTAGTAACTGCAGTAGCTCTGAAAAGGTAATTAAAGCTAAGCACTATGGAGGGCAACTTTACATCAATATAAATATACTTGTAACTGTATAGCTAAGTCCTGCAGCTTTGCAAAAGTAAATGCCTACCAGCATATCAACGTCCTTGGATAACTGCACCAAATTGCTGAACTGTTTTCACCACTGATTTCTAAAGGCACATAGCTAGAATGTTACATGAGCCATGAACTGAGAAGCTCTTAGAGGATTCTCACAGTTGTTCCATGTCTTCACCAGCGGTTATGATGTGGCTTGTCCACGGGCGTGAGAGAAAAATGTCAGAAAGCTTCCTTGTCCTGCATCTATGCTTATTTTAAATTTTATCCCTTGAACATATGAGAAAATGACCTCACTACAATAAAGAGATGAGCTGAATACTTTGTTTAATGAGTCCTTTACTTTAGTACTAATGGATTACATAAAGTTTTATTTTGGAAACACTGGTTTGCAGTATGTAACAAAATTACACTGCTGAACATGCCGGTCACTTTACAATACAGAGACATAGTACCTGGTAACACTTTGATTTAAAGTTGCCTAAAATGCATTGACTTTAATTTTAACAAATCTGAATGACTAGTACATATTCCTGGGAGTGCTGTTTATGCTGTTCTTTTGTGGAATATGCTTTTCTGCCAGCACTGATATGCTTCAACAATACTAATTAAATATTGTAGTAGTCGAATTACTATCTATAAAAGCAAAGTGCCTTCCTTTCAATACTATGCTATGAATTTTACACATAGCAAAGGTTAAATGCAGGCATGAATGATGGGCAAATAGTTTACTTGAACTGCGGAAGTTAAAACAGTATCATAAAAGCAGGTAGTAAAATAATTTGAAGAACAGGTCAATACTATTAAAACCTAAGAACACTAGGAACTAACAACATTTTTTTGCAGAACACAGCTGTTAAACAGGAATAGGCATGAGTCACCTAGGTCTGTTCTGTTAAAGAACATGACTTAAAAATCCTGCTCTTGTAGTTAGAGCTTGATGAAAAGCTTGCAGGAAATTTCATTTTGGAGAAAAGAAGGGAGAGTCAAAATCAAATCTTAAATTATATTTTTAAAAATTCGCAGGGAGTGAAAAGCTCTTGTGGCTGTGTCAGCTTGGTGAAAACAATGTTTCTGTCAATTATATGGGGTTGCAGGCAGCTCCCAAATGCCTCATTTCCCAGCAGAGGAATGGCCCAGATCCCAGGACATAAAGCTCCCAGGGTCCTTGTCACTTGAGCAGAACAACCAGCATCAGTAGGCGCCAGCATCTGTGACCCTGGGGCAAATCTATGAGAACACTGCCGGGGACTCAGCATGAGTTCATTGGGATATTCAGAGTGCAAAAACTTCTGGCTCAACAAACCAGAAGTTTACAGTGAAACTGTGTTTTATTGCAAAGTTCCTGATTAGTTCTACTAATAATATAATGCTTTGTATTAATTAAAGGCTTGTCTAAACTCAAGACTGTTGTACTGATTACAATTATTTGTTCAGCAGATGGTACTTGGGAGTTAAATTTATACTAGTCCCATTTCTTGATGCGATTATACCAGTGTAATTGTTAGAAATGCTAGGTTTGATAACATTGATATAAATAAGCTTTAAACATCTTTATATTAAGATGAGTATGTCCATGTCAGGGAGAATCTGCGAACTTCATTGTATTGGTTTCCAAACACAGGTAGTTTGGCACAAGAGGAAATTGTGTAAACATTTAACAGCTATTACTAATCCATACTCTTCTCAATATTATTGTGCTACCTGCTTTATAAATTACTGTAGAAGCTATTGTCATTCTCTATTGCAAAATTGTCTCCAGGTGTCTGTATTTACAGTATCATCCAATTATCTTTCAGGAATTTATTGCCTTTGGGTTCAGCAACATTTTTTCAGGTGCCTTTTCTTGTTTTGTTGCAACTACTGCTCTTTCACGGACTGCAGTCCAGGAAAGTACTGGTGGAAAGACTCAGGTAATGACCTCTTTTTACTAGGACTGTGCATGAGTAAATTTAATCTTGTATAGGGTACAGCTTTCACAATGGGATGAAAATGGTCCTAAAATGATTGTGGTGTTGGCACGTGGAAAGCCACAGGTATCTTAGCTAGCAGCTTGTGCTCTGGTAGTAAGTTTTGTAGCTCTGCCAGAAGAGGGCAATCAAGTTTTACATAGCTTGAGTTACATTACGAGTCAGAAATCCTTCAAGCCTAATTCTTCAGCATTTCATTCCCAATTAAGGGACTGGGTTTGTCACAGTAGGAATTCAGGATGAGGGAGGAAATCCTCTTGCAGCTGCCTGTGAAATATTTAAGCTCCCATGTGCTGGCCTGAGCAGCCCTGCTATTTGCCATTCATCATCTGCCCATGTGCCATCTTTCTCATGTTGAGTAACCTACTCTGTTCTACAGTACTACAGCTTTGCAATTTTTAACAGTGGACAACTACAGATTATCCAGCAGCCCCTTTTCTGTCTGACACACAGGCTGTGTTCCTTTCATCTGTCTATGCAACGTAACCCCTCCATGAGCCACTACCCTGCATGCAGTTATTTACACTACCTGCTTAATTGAATTCCCTCTGTGTTAGCTGAAGTGTATAATGATTGCCCACGTACGCCTAAACACAATGGCATTTTGGCAGGTCACCTTGTTCCTAAAGAAACGTAATGTGCAACTACTTGTACATTTCTCTTTGTAATCCTAGAAACATAAAATAGAGTCTTCATAAATTCATTTCCTATAAACGCTCTGTTCTTCACAGGTTGCTGGTATAATCTCAGCTGGGATTGTTTTGATTTCCATCGTTGCCCTGGGGAAATTGCTAGAGCCCTTACAAAAGGTACCGTAGTCATCCTCTGCAGCACAGCCACCAGCACCAATGAGATCCCAATGCTCAACTCTGATGGGCAGGATTAATAGCCCTGTTCAAACTAATATGACTACCAGATGAGGCTTTGGTTTACAGTGTATAACGTTGAGCACTATCTTAATATGCATCTTTACTTCTGAATAACGCTTTTTCACCATTTTTCTTCACAGTCTGTGTTGGCAGCTGTAGTCATAGCTAACTTAAAAGGGATGTTCATGCAAGTGTTTGATGTTCCCCGTCTGTGGAGACAGAATAAAGTGGATGCTGTAAGTAACCTAATTTTTTCTTTTCTCCTGAATATTTTTGTGTGGTTTTCTTTTTGCCTTTTAATGTCATCCAATTTTCTCTTAACTACCACATAAACATAATTTTTTAGAGTTAATATCAGAAAACATTTATGTGCATCCTCAAAATGCAAGCGCCATGAGGTCAGTTAAAAAATTCACCATTTTAGAGTTTTACATATTATTCTGCTTATCTCCTTTTTTCCCTATACCCCACTTTAAGGGTGCCAATCAGGGTATTCCTGTGCAGTGATGACTCCTTCATAGCAATTGCCATAGTTTATAGCAATCCTGTGTTGAGGTGGCTTGAAAATCAGAATAAGGATGGTCTGTTGCCACTTTTACCATTCTTTTATCTTTTGCACTGTTTAAATGGGTCAGAAAAGCTGATCTTTTCTTAATTCATGAACATATATTTATGATGTTACCGCATCAGCCTCCCATTTGCCTGGATAATCTCATGCAGTCCTCAGAAAATATGTTTTCTTGTAGCAAGACTAATCCAAGCTAGAATGTGGTTTCATTTGGCATGCTAAGTGTTATATGAACAGGCTTTTCTTACAAACCACTACAACCGTATCTCAGGGTACTTGTTCACATCTCCCACGGTGTTTTCTGTAGAATAGACCTTCAGTGTGGCTGTTAGGGCAGGAAATGATTGCATGGAAAGTATTTCCTCCACAGAGTCCTTACTATGCTTAGATTTTACAGTGTGTGTCATTGGGCAGTACCTGCCTTAGGTAGATCTGCAATTTTTTAGTCAATCATTTACTAGTTCTCTTTATAGGTAAAATATCCCACTGACTTCAGTGAGAAGTGCAGGTACTCAGCTTATTGAAAGATTGGGTCCACTGAGCGTTCTGCCTGGGCAGTGACATAGGGAGGAACTGAGGAACCCACTTCAACTGTTCTGCCTCAATATTCAGTAGAGACTTTAGAGAGTGCCATCAACCTGTTAATACGAAATACCTCGCTTTGCAACAGTTCTGCTTCTTAGACATCACCGAGGAGCCCCCTTCCCTCTCTTTATGTCTGCAGGTGGGACATCTTACAGTATTTTGCATCTTGGGAAAATAAATTCTTTCCAATTTCTAAAGAAAGATTAACAAAGTCTGCCACTATCAGAAAGAAGAAAATGCAGTGGTTAACTGCATCTTCTTTAATTTCACCAAAATAACTGGATCCTTGAAAAATGCTGTTATGTTAAAAAAACCCCTTATTTCCTTAAAATCTGACCAGGCCTAATAAGTTAGTGATAGATAGAAGTGTCTTGGAGGAAGAGGAAGATTTTTGTATGGAAGTCAGCTAATTGCCAGTGTGCTATGATCATCTCCAAAGTTAAATTCTTCTGCTACTCATACTGCCTGGTCTAGTGATTCTTTAGCACGACCAGGAGTAATATGTTATAATTAAGAAAATTTACATTTGTTATTTCCTCTCCAGATGATCTGGGTTTTCACGTGTGTAGCATCCATCATTCTGGGACTTGATTTGGGATTACTTGCTGGCCTTTTGTTTGGGTTGCTGACAGTTGTGCTGAGAGTTCAGTTGTAAGTAACACAGGATCTGAAATAATGTTATACCATGAAAAAGGAAGACAATACACTGAAAAGCAAGATGATTTGTGGCAGAAAATCTGCTTGGGTTTACAAAAATTTTGAAATGGAAAAAATCTATTCTTTAGAACAAAACACTGTTTGTGTGCTATCATTTAATTACACCGAAAAAAGAGACGCTGCATTATTTTATCAGTATTTATTCTATATCATATCGGGTACTCTGGTGGTACTTAGCCATGTTATTTACACACCCACATATATGAGTTCTGGAAAGGGATAGGAACATTCCAGGACAAATATAAAAAGATGTATGCATGGCTTCTGTAATTAATTGATCAGTATAATAACTCTTAGCATGCAATACTACTACAGTATGCTGCACATGCCAATAACCTTTTCACTTACTACTTATACAAGACTGAGTGGATGCCTGTGAAAGAAAACATGAGAATAGGACAAAATTTTGTGCTTCTGTCTGATCTGTTGCTGCTCAAAGAACATATGGTAGTGGAATGGTCAGAAAAGGTGGCTTTGCAGAATCTTCTTTGGCCATCTTGTTATTTTTCATCAATCCTTTCTCTGAAAATACAACATAACTCCTTTCCTTCAGCCTGGAGTCCAGAGAGTATGGTTACTAGCAATACCAAAGGATAGTTGCACTGTCAGCAAGTGCATAAAAATAAAGCCTTGCAAATGTTGTTACAGAATAGTAGGTTATAAAAAATGGAATTTGAATAGCCTCAAAAAACATTCCCAAATTCAACTCAGATATGTGAAATCAAAATATAAGAGAGAAATGAGGCTTTACAAACTTCAGGACAGTTTGCTTCAACTGTTAAAAATATATCTGGAGACTGCAAAATATTTTGGTTTCATTATTGACTGACATAAAGATTAAAAAGGTTGGACAAAAAGGTTTAAGTAATCTGAAAAGAATGTATATGTATTGTTTCAGCTGATTTTAAATGAAAAAAGTGACCAAATTTTTTTCAGAGTCAAAAATTATTTTTTCATTCAAACCAATCTGCCTTTAAAACATTTTTTCTGGTTTGGGAAACAAAAGGAACAAGGTGTTCACTCAAGTCTACATAAAAATGGTTCAGCAAGTAGGCTGAGACCAAACGACCTTGTTTTTAAAGAAGACCATTCACTACAAATCAGAAAAAGACCCTTGCACAGCAACACAAACCAGATATAACACTTTTGCAATGGGCCTATTAGTCTGGCAGAAGACAGCAGACTACAAGTCTGTGACAGCTTGTATGCAGCAATCCCTTCAGTTCTGTGAATGCCTAAGTATGGCATTTACCTTCAGTGTTTTTTCTTTTTGTTTCTGTCAGTCCTTCATGGGGTGGCTTTGGAAACATTCCTGGCACAGACATCTACAAAAAGGTCAAGGACTACAAAAATGTAAGTCATTGCTGAGTTGTTTCCCTTCAGTCTACAGGCCAGTGTAAGACAAAGTTGTGCCTTGCATATTGTAGACAACTTGAATTTGGAAGTGGAGGGCTAGAAGGTAACAAGTTTCAGCATTAAATTCTTTATCTTGATCCAGATGGTTGGTCCATATTGCATGCTGGGGCTGTAAACTTCTAAAGACAGGATCACCACAGATACACCATTTTTTGTGAATTAGATATGTAATTGAACTGTTGAAACAGTTTAACTGCTTCTTATTAGCCAAAATATGGTTGTTGCTGCTTAACCTTATATTCTTTGGCAACAGGTTATAGAACCAGAAGGTGTGAAGATTCTCAAATTTTCAAGTCCAATTTTTTATGCTAACATTGATGGACTGAAAAGCAGCCTCAAATCCACAGTAAGTGATATGCGATGGTTTTGGATGCTTCTTAACTGTCTTTGAGATTTACTCAGAATTATATCTAGATAAAATTAAATCATTTTTATCCTTCTTCTGTAGGTGGGATTTGATGCAGTCAAGGTATATAATAAGAGACTCAAAGCACTGAGGAAGATACAAAAGCTAATCAAGAAGGGAAAATTAAAAGCTACTAAGGTAAACCAATTTTTTTCCTTCTATTTCTCAAAGGATTAATATTAGAGCTTATTACTTTAGCCTTAATTACGAGTTCTTCTGTATTCATCTTTAAAATAAGTATGGAAAAGTGTGATTTATTACTATGGCAGGAAGTCTGGGTCCTGCAGGAGACTTAACAGAGCAGTACACCTATTACCTAAGGCCGCACAGATTCAGGCAGCTGGGGCAGTCACAGTGTTAACAGGAGTGGAAGCAAGAGATGCCCTGATCTTACCTCTACCCCTCACCACCTCAGCTTGCCTCTGTGCAGTAAAAGTGCTGGCTCTTGGGTACATGCTCCTGTTATCCAGCTTCCTGTGCACAGTTGGCTGGTAGACATAGCCTTCCACATCCTCTTTAAAGAAAGTAGCATATGTTCCTCTGAGTACGGAACATACATTTCAATAATTAAATGCTTACAGGAGTGGACAGGTACAGGCAACACACTAAATCTCCAGAGCTGGAAGTTAGAAATGGGTTTTCTGTTCTCATCACTTTCAGTGCAGGATGCAGTATTTCCTGTATATATTACAATTTATGATGCAGTTAAATGCTCAGTTATCATTCCAGTTTTTGACCTAGCCATTTTACTATGTTATCATATACAGTAAATCTAAGTCAAAGCTGAAAATACTGGTCTTAAATATCTCCTAGAAGTAAAGCGATTGAGGGAGGGAGTAGCTCTGAGGTATTTGTTTTTCTGGATAGTGGCCTTTTTGCAGGAAGATTCTCTTTTAACAAAGAAAAAAAGAGGAAAGGAAATACACTGCACAAAGGTGGAGGTAATTATGTGCTCTATCTTGTTTTTCTTTAAAATCTTGGATGCAGTATTGTCACCCAGCGCTAAGGGGACAAACAGGTTCTTCTAGGGATCCTTGGCAGAATGATGATGGCAATAAATTGTAGTTACAATTAAAGCTTTATTTTTCTTAACAGGATTTTATGATTAGTATAGCACAGAATTTACGTTGAGAATGGCACAGGATTTTTACAAACAGAAACAATGTAGCACAATTTATAAGTAGCAGAATACAGAATTTCTAATACAACTTGATTTATAGTTTCCAATTACCTAGACCCTGACTTAACTTAGGGTTTTTAATGACCTGGACCCTCTGCAGATCATGTCAGATCTTAATACATGGTTTGATGTATCAATATAACAATTGTAATCTAGACTCAAAAATCGTATAAAAGAAGACAAGTCACTCAAGTCCTCGGAGGAAGCTGACAATGGTGAAGGCGTCCCTGGCCACTGGGGGTCACAGGTCTTACTGTCCAGCAGCAGTTCTGGTCCAAGTTTCCCACGTAGGACTTGTAAATGCTTGATTTTATGGACAGTGCTCTGTGTGCTGTTAGGGTTCCCCGTTCTGTGACATGGTCATCAACAACACCCTGGTTGGGTGCTTGGGACCTTCAGGACCGGCAAGGAATGGAGTAGTCAGCCTGGCGCCCAGGAATCTTGAGGATAGTAGGGAAGGGAAGAAATCTGCTTGGTTCATCTACTTGGTTCACAGGACCTTCGAGGCCTGAGAATGAGGGGAAAGGGAATGAATACATGACCTGCTCGGTCACAGAGAATGGCTGCTTGACTTATGAAACAGCGTTAGTTATGCTAACCACCCTACCAGGGGTTGGGAGCAGGGGTTACTGGTCACAAGTATCAGTCTTGTTCATTCCTGAAACATAAGTTATCACAGGGAAGTATTTCCTGTAACTCCAAAACTTTCTCCACGATTAAATGCTATATTTCTTATATCATCTGCACATTAGAATGGTATCATCAGTGATCCTGGTATTAATAATGAAGCTTTTGAGACTGACGAGGAACCTGAAGACAATGAAGACATTCAAGTTCCCACCAAAGAAGTAGAGATCCAGGTGGACTGGAATTCAGAACTCCCAGTTAAAGTAAACATCCCCAAGGTGCCCATCCACAGTCTCATTCTTGATTTTGGAGCAGTAACCTTCTTGGATATTGTAGCTGTGAGATCAATAAAAACGGTAAGGGCATTTTTTTCTGGTGTTCCGTGAAAATTAAACTAGTCAGTAGTATGTAAATCAAGGCCGTTAGCAGAATCTGATTTCTGAGTTTTTAAAAGTCTGTTGTTGAAAAATACCTTTAAAATTTATAAAGCAAGAGGTAGAATATTGGGGTATGCAGATTATAGGTGGAAAAAAAAAGGAAAGAAATGTATTAAAAGAACAATATGAAGGTTGCATGGTCAAGTACTCTAAACTTAGAACTGCAAAATGTGGTCCCCTTGTATGCATATGTTATGAAATATTTTAGTTATATATTTTCTTTCCGCATGCCTCCTGATTTAATCTGGGCACAGGATGATGCTCACTTAACACAGAGGTAGTAAAAATTCTGTCTTACCATCACTTCAGTCTTTAGCCACAAGATTTATTTACTCATTCCATGTTACTTAAATTATGATGGAAGAAAGAATGATTAATTTCTTTATGGGGTTTCTGTGGCTAATATCAGAGTGCTTCATCAACATTCATTAATTCATCTTCAAACATCAGACTACACAATAAGGAGATAATATTCCTAGTTTAAAGAGAGGGAAATGAGGTGAAGAGACTAACACCAAGTATTTCGGTTATTTTTTGGTACGCTGTTACTAGTGGGAAGGACCAGACTGTTCAGCCTTTAGTCTTTTATGATACTTCGTATGTTCAGATTGCTGCTTTCACTAACTTCATTTTTCAGTTGGGACTGCTTAGCCTATCTATAAACCACATCGTAGATTGCCAGGACTCTAGTTGATCAATGAACAGAGGGGGATGGAATCAGCAATCACCTCTGAAAATACTATTCTAGGAGACTTGCCTGCCACCAGAGAGCCAGGGGTAGAATCCAGTCTCCCACCTTTTAATTAACTGAAGTACAAGAATGCTGTGAGCCTTGCTTCAGCCTTCTGCCTAGTTTCGATTCAGTTACAACTTCTGACACAAAAGAGATATGGGGTCCACAGACATGACTCTTTTCACATGCCATTTTTTCATCCAAGAACAGCTCCATTTGGTGCACTGCATGAGAGAAAAATCTGTGAAAAAAATTTGCACGTGCCAGTGGAAGACTGCATCATATCACACATACCTGGGGAGAGATAAAGCTTGCTCAAGCCCAGGTGGTTCTCACTTGAAGAGACATGATTATTCACGTTATTAGAACAGAATGAGAACCTTAATAGGCAGCAATGTGTGTATGTGTAAAATTGATAGTTCCACTTACATAGTCAAAGGTAGGTCACTTCAGCAACCAGGTACTTAACTACTGGATCTTTAAGTATAGCAAAGCATAGCAGTTCCTTATTTATGATGAATAAACAAAGCACACCATTTGGAATGAAGATACACTGAAACAAATAAAGTGTGTGTGTAACTACGCATTGCATATATAGACATATATACATATATGTATTTTTTTCTTACAGATTTTATTTATTTATGTCCTTGTTCCAAATTTTTTCTTTTTTAGATAATTAGAGAGTTTGAGAGAATTGATGTGAGAGTATACTTTGCTTCATATCAAGGTAAACATCCAAATATTTCTACTACCACTCATGCAAAGAATAAAATGAAGATGAGAAGGGATGAGAAGGGATCTCTAGATGTGTCTGTGGGAGCATTTGTTCTGATAAAAATTAGATACACTGATAAACATGGTGGGCCAGGGTGGGACACAAAGAATGGTGGGGTTTAAAGGAAATATGGAAAGTAAAACTCAAGACAAAATCTATGATTGATCAACTGATTTGGCTGTACGTTTGATTTCTGATAATTGCAACCATGTATTTTGACATTTATTTCTTAAATTACTTCAAATTGTATTAACCTGTTATGACTTTCTTTGATTCAGACAACCTTATATCTCAACTGGAACGGAGTGCCTTCTTTGATGATATTGTCAGAAAAGACATATTCTTCTTGACTGTCCATGATGCTGTGCTCTACATAAGGAATCAAATGACATACAGTGACAACCAAGATCCCATCTTTGAGAAGGTAAGGATATCCAGCAGTATATTTCCCTTCCTTCTGTCATCTAGCATTCATTCTTGCAATTTCCATTACAGCATGGCACGTTTGAAAAACAGACATAGAGCTATTTTCAAATAAAGTGAGAGTCTAGTAAATTGGACGGCTTCTGTAGTACATCAGTATTTTGCTAGATCAAATAAAGGGTCTGTTGACCCCAGGATCTTGTTAGTGAAAAGAACATGAGAAACAGGATATATGGAGAACACCTCATCCTAAGACACATTTTCTAGTTTCTGATAACTGGCTGTTTAAGAACTTCCTCAGCTGGAGGTTGCAGTTGGACCATTATATTTGTCACAGATGAAGTTTTCTTTGATGTGTTTGTACTTTTTTGGAACCCCTTTACACATTTTAGCTTGACACCATCCTGTGGCAATGGGTTCTGTAATTTTAAATGTGTTATATCACAAATATTTAATTTGTTTTAATCCTGTTGGATTTCTGGATTGCTAGCTGCAGTTAATAATCATTCCCTTCTTCCTTTTGTAACACTATTAATAATTTCAGCTACCTCTGATCAAAGCTGAAGAGTCCTGTCCTACTTAGTGTGAGTGTGCACGGAAGCTGTTCCACACTAGTGTTCATTCCTACTGTCTTTGTGTGTTTTCTAGTTGTATTCTGCATTTTTTGAGACAACCAGAACACTCTGTAGTGTTTAAAGATGTGGGCTCACATTAAAAAAATGGCCTTATAATGTTCTTCTGTCTTTGCACCACAATTTCTTCCCTAGCAATTGCTGTTATGGTATTATGGATAAGTAGTAATTAAAAATAATTTTACTGTTAAATAACTAGGATGGAGCCCTTATTTTTTCAATAATTTTTGTTTATTACCCAGGATCTAGAAATTTTGTCCTGTATTATAGCAGAGATTAACATTTCAACAAAGACATGCAAAAGCAGTTTAGAAATGGATTCTGCTTTTATTATTTTTACAAAGCCATAGCTAGTCATATAAGGAGAGGCAGGACCAAAAGCTTTCCAACATAGAAGTTTCTGTCAGCTGAACTAAAGGAACAGCTTTGTCAAAGAACAATAAACAACAGACTCTTGTGAGTTGTGGAAATGATAGTAAGGTACTTCAGAGTAATAAATCAACTTCAATGATATGGACAATGCATAACTCATCATGTTTCTTAATTTCTTTCTACCAAGATTTCACTCATGCAGGAGTCTAAAGAACCCATCGAATTCACAGAAACAAGCCGTCCCGATGATGAACTTGATGTTCAGGAAGAGGTATGCACTTTAGAACCGAATGTGTCTATTACTTACAGAATACTGCTGGCTTTATTCCTTTGCCTGTAGCACTGAGTCATGCTGTGAGGGTATGGCAGATGAACTGAGCCCCCAACAGTTTCCTCCTCCATAAATAAATACCCTGCCTGGGCACCTGGCTGTCAGTGCTTAGTGGTAGAAATGAAGGTCTTTTTGAGATGTAGTAGGTTGTATGTGCACAAGCACTTCCTGATGCCTATCACTTTAGGACTACTTTGGCCTTACAGGCATGAGTTAGGTGCCTAAGAGAAGACTTGGTATGGCCTGAGGCACCTGAGTCCAAAATTACGGTCAACTTTCCCCCTTCATCCCTCCTTCTAACACAGCAGGCATCTTCTTGCACAATCTAAACATTTTACAGGAAGCTGCAGCAAAGCAGTGTACTGAACACAACTAACACGCAACAAGTGGATTAAAGCAATACCATGGTATTTTGTATTTACAGAGTACTGCCAGAAAAGAAGGTACCACTTCCGGCTTAAATAACAGTGCAGCACACAAGCCACATATTCAGAAAATAGATTGGGCTAAATGCCCTTTTATCGCCTGAGATGAATTAAACTAGTGATGCATCAATACCTTGGAAGTATTGTAACACTCCACATAGCTAAAGACACAATTATGTGTCTCTCCTATTGTGGTACTAGTTAGAACTTTGTTCTTAATCCCCAGTCTAAACTGGGGTAGTGCCCTGTGCTTGGCTTCTCTGCTCCAGCCACAGGAATGCAGTGACCCTTCTCTGTCATGCTCTAGTAAAATGCTGCAGCAAGGTTGCTGCACCTGTGGGATGTAGAGGTCCCTGGAGGGAAGTTGGTAAGAGGAGGTTGTGGCTGGGTAGAGGTTCTCAGCATCACCCTGCATTGTAGTTTCTACCATAGCATGAAGTCCCATAGGAAGAGGTAAGGTCAGCTTGGAAGGCAGATTGGTGAGAGGAGAAACTGACACCCTGAGCAAAAGCCTCTCAAATGTCATTAGGGTATGGTCAGTAGATTGCAGTACTCCTGAGTCACCCCCTCCTTTTTTGGTTGGTATGAATATTGCAAAAGACCCAAATATTATTATTTATCACTAATGGGGAGAAGCACTTTCCACTCCTCTGTAAGTCACACTGCAGAAAGGAACGAAGGATTTTAAACGCTACAAAGACACCATGATTCTGTAAGAGAAACATTTGGGAATGGCAGACCCAAGAGACTGGAATTCTGGTTCCTATTCAGAGGATTGCTTAGATATTTATATTATTGTCATTAAATAAGAAAAGCAGCCAGACACAAAACTACCAATCCAAGGTCGAAGAGCATTCTGAGAAGTTTCTGTCCCCCACCTTTATAGCCACATTTTGAAGGTGAAAGCTTCAGACCTGCAGCTTCCTGACTGAAATGCCCAATGCAGACACAAGTCAGAAGGATGCTGCCTCAGAACAGTTACTTTCTGAACTTGATAGTTTTTAGTTAACACATACACAAACATTTTATTTTTCCAAGTAGTGTGTACTTAGAACTAACCATGGCCTGTTTCTCTCCACCTTTTTAAACCCATTTCACTAGGCTATGCGCAGACTTGCTTCATGAAGACGGACTACTGGTACTGTCCCACTTGTGAACTCAGCAATATTTATGCACCGGTACTATATAAGCATTTTCTGCAATGAAACCAATCTTTGCACTTGAAGAAAACCCTGATTGTTTGACTGAATGATACAGATCTCTAGAAATCTCCAAATTTTAGCTAATGTTCTCCTGGAAATATTCTGGACCTTGATTCAGCAAGCACTTTCCGATATGATATATTGATAAAAAAAGTCAGAAGACTATTATGAAAGATGTACTCAGTTTTGGGACTGAGTAGGTAGAAGTAAGGCAGAAGCTGCATTACAATGTTTTATCAGTATGTACAGGATGAAAAGCTGCTTTGTGGACTGCCCAGGAGAGTTGAAGAGACCAAAATCTTTGGATGGCAAGCCTTTTGTTCTGTATTTGTACAATGCCTAGTGAGAGGGCAGGAGTACTAGCTGGGCAAGGCTTTGCAATTGTGGAACATTAGTGTGAGCATAGGTGCTGACAAGTCTTGACAAATGTATCACAATCATCTTTTCCAAGCAATTCCTTAAATTGCTGCAGGTTGTTAGGTAACTGAAACGGGTGACAGGTGAAAGAGACACACGAACAGAAAACTGCACCGAACTACTATAAAACTTTAAATAGGATAAATTTCAATAGAAAAGACCCTTGGATAAGTTCCTTAGTTCTGTATTAATCCCGTTGTAGCCAATCATGCACTATTATTAATGATCATCCCTAAAATGAACTATACACAGATGATTATTTTGGCTAGGTTACGTATTTTTCATCAAGAGGCAGAACACGACATAAATTAGATTAATGAAAACCTCAGTCCCCAAGTACTTAATGGAATCTGTAGAACAGGCTGCTACTGAGCGCAAGTAAGAAACTCAGAATGCGACCTAGTATAGAGGTTTGGAGTTTTTTTAAAATACGATATAGGAGTTTATGTAGTTTAATTAATAGTTCTATTTTTATATAGCAAAATTTTTCTTTTAATATTCTACATCAGACTGCTGCTGTTCTTTCACATTTGACAGTCCATAATGCACAGGTGCAATAATTTACAAAAGAGAAAGGATTTGACCTGCAAAACTTTAATCCTTACTTTAGGACTATATAAAATAGATATGCAGGAAATCAACGTTCTTACTTTTCATGAAGAAGAAATGTGTTTTGATGGAAAACAGACTGCTACCTTCAATGTTTTAGCCCTACACAGATTTTTTTAACTGGAAAAAATGCTGCCTGGTGAGGGAACAGGTAATAACAAAAGGGTAAGAAATGTCCAGGAATAAAATCCCTTTAAATTCCACAATATGGGCTAATTAGCTTCAGTATGTCCTGTTGTGGTTTGAGCCTACTTAGCAGCTAAATGCCACACAGTCGCTCACCCACCCTCCCCCCACTTGGGACTGGGGAGGGAATTGGAGGGGCAAAGGGAGACTCGCGGGTTGAGATAAAAACAGTTTAATAATAGTAACAGAATAATACACTGACAGCAGTATGAATAGGTAATGTACAATACAGCTGCTCACCACCCACCAACCGACCAACCTCCACCTGCTCCCAACTGGTGGTCCCAAACACAAAGACCCCACAACCACACTCCAAGAAGTGGCCACCTCTGTCAGCCCTCTCCTGCCTTTATAGAGTGAGCATGTCACATGACATGGAATATCAGCCAATCCCGGCTCAGCCCTCCAGCTGTGCTCCCCCCACCCCCGTGCACAGGTGCGGGCACTGGGACTTGGAGAGCCCCTGGGGTCTCTGTTTTGCAGCACTCCTCCAGCTACCAAAACGAACAGGAACTCTATTCCAGCCCGAACCAGGACATGTTCACATATTTAAGTCTCCTTATTTGATTATGTCAGAGAAATTTTCCCGTATCACACTGTACAGAGATTTTTGCTCCAAGTAATGTTAGCAGAAAATCTCAGGTGAAAAGCTAAGCACTAAATAAATCACTCTGTCCTAAGGACCTGAGTGAACTCCATCAAAATCAGTGAAAAAAAAATCCTGTAACCTTCAGTCAGCTGGACAGTATCTTACATAGTAGGTAACAGCACCAGACTGACATCTTTAATTAAGGCAAAAACTGCAGCCTTCGTGACAGTCAGTGAAGTTTCTCATTTCAAATGCAATACAGGCTTGAACCGAGATGATACTGATGTTCCAGTCCAAGCCAGAAAAAACAGGTTTGTATTTACAAATGGACATATGCCCTTTGTCTGTCACATTAGCATCTCCACAAGCTGAGAATTAGGCACGTGCTTAAGAGGCAAATCAGACTGATCTGCACCTCCTCAGATGGAAGTATTAATTTCTATTTACATTAATGCTTAGTTAAGCTCAGGCTGTGATTAGACAATTCACTTTTAGCACTACCTGTCCTCATTCTCTCCCTTTCCCTTCACCAGCCCTTCTGCTCTCATTACTGACAAAACTTTCCTATCAGACCATGGCCCCTGTTTATATTAATCTGTTGCCAGTGCCCACAGCACAAAACAATGAAGGGCAAGGCCAGCAACATGCTTCTCAGCAGCTGTATTGCTTTTCTAAAGTGGATGAAAGTTTTATGTAAAAAGTAAAAGCAAAATATTCTACCTGGGACTGATAAGAAACCTTTCAGCTACATTTTATGCAGAACACACACAATGGAAAAGATGGTATTAAAAATCATAGCAATATTTTTCTTTTCCTCAAGAGAACATCTGCACTGTGAAGTGAGTATAGATTCTTACTTGACAGAAATGTGGGCTTACATTATTTTTTGAACCTTCTCCAGTTCTTGTCCATACAGATATTTAGAAAAAGCAATTAAATATTCATCAGTCTTCCAGTTTCCTTTCCAAATATGATATTTCAGCTGGAATTGTGACAAAATATGATGCAATGCACTTATTCTTGGCCTGCACATTTCTTCAAGGCATGGTTAGTTTTGTTCCTAATTTAACTGGCACAAAATATTCAACTTTTCCTGAAAAATAGCATTTCGCACAAAGCCTACAGTTACACAGAACAGTAAGTGGCAACATGCAGAAAGCATTCAAATACCTTTCTTGGTGGGTCGAGGGTACGTGCGTCTTATTTTTCTATCTATGTATCCATCCAAATGAAGGATACCAAAATAATGGATTTTGCAATGAAGCTAAAATTCTATAGAATTTTGTATTAATTCAAACATCCATAAGTAATGCAACTAGATGTGTCTATCTTTTTCCAGTAGAATGAAGAAGTGATATTTTTATATGCATTTTGAGTATTACTATTCTGTCTTTGCATGTCAGGTATTAAATTTGGAGATATATTTTAAGTTTTTTACCCTTTTAAAAAAGCTGTATTTTAAAAGTAATTGTATTCATTAACTAGAAAATAAACTTGCGCATACTGAAAGCATGCTCCATGCATCTGCATGTTCGGGTTTTTAAACTCTTTGCCAATTGTTTATGAGGAAAGAAAGGATATTGTGCAGGGATCAGTGTCGAACTTCCTTTGGGTCTGCCTTTTGAGGAACAGCAACGACAAAGTGAAAACCCGTTCACTCTGCCTTGTGGGGATAAGAAGCATTAGGCTTAAATGGCAGCTTTTAAATGTTGAGGCTGTAACAAAGACATTGTAGGAACACAAGATCCAAATCCAGGAGACAAAAAAGCTGAAAAGCGAGACAGTCACCTATCTGAAGTGTTTGGAGTAGAACTGCCCCTACCTTAGGATTGCAGAGGGACTGCTTGAGGCCACTTTCTACCCTATGATTTAATTGTATTTATATTCCTTTCCTTTATTCAGTGCTATAGAAGCACTCTGTACGGTATCCCACTGAATTACACGGGATTTACAAAATGCTATGTTTATGGAAATTACACAAAGTAGTCTCTTCAGGTAGTGAGGTCTATTGCTGCGAAGCTTCCGGGCGCACTGGTGGTCCAGCGTTCCAACAAGCTCATCGGCACTTCCACAGCCGTGATCGCCAGGAATCTTGCATTTCCACGGCAAAACTTAAGCCTGACCATTAGCAGCTGAGAGAGCCCAACGCAATTTCAGGTTTGTCTAACTCCTTGGAAGCCCGCACCACATAAACCACCCGCCCGCCAAGTGCGCGGGCAGGCTGCCACGGCTGCTGAGCAAAGGCCCCTCTCAATTTTAATTTTACCCTTCGCTAAGAAGCCACAGGGCCGCGCCTCCTATTCCGGCGAACCCTTCCCAGGGCCCGACCGAAGGCTGCGCGCCTTCCCCGCGCCGCCCCGCAGTGCCCAGGCCGGCCCGGCGGCCATGCCGACTCCAGCCGCAGCGCGCAGGCGCGGCGCGCGCGGCACTACACCCCCCAGGGGGCCGCGGTGCGCCAGCCGCCATCCCGGCAGGCACTGCGGGGCGGCTGCGCCTTCCTCCCCAGCCGTGCCGCAGAGCCTGTCGGGAGCAAGAAATCCCCCGCCGTCGCGCCGCGCCGGTGGGCTCCGCCATGTCCCCGCCGTCCTGCCCTCGCTGTCCGGCGGCGGCTCGGCCGGGGCGAGGAGAGCGCGGTACCGCAAACGCTTCCCCCGCTGCGCGCTTTTTCACGCCTCCCCTTGCCCGCCCGCCTGCCGGCCGCTTCCGCTTCCGGCCGCGCCCTTCCGCTCCCACAGTGCCGCGCGCCGAATCATGGACCACAATGGTGAGGAGGGGACGGGCCGGGAGCCCCATTTCTACCCGCCCGAGCCCGCGCCCGCTCTGCGCTGTCGGGCGGGGAGGGGCCGCGCGCGGGGCCGCCGGGCGCGGGGCGGGGCCGCGGCAGCAGCGGGATGCGGCCCGGCGCTCGGTAACGCCTGCGGGGCCCGGGTTCGCCGCGGTTCCCTGCGGCCCGCGCGGCGCGGCCTGGTCTCTCCCTTCAGCGCGGGGCTCCCCGCCCCCCGCCGCCGCCCGACGGCCGCGCTCGGCCCCCGCCCCGCGGAGTGAGCTCAGCCGCTGGCCCGAGCGGGATCCGGCCCCGGGGCGGGCTGCGGGGGCCCCGCTGCGCGGGCGGGTGCAGCCCGTGGCGTGTCGGAGGTGGCGCTTGTCGGGCCGCCGCGGATCGCGGGATCGCGGCCGAGAGCGTGTGTTCTGGATCCGTAGTTGTGCTCCGCAGGGGAAACTTCCCCGCGCTCTTAAATTTGGTTTTGTAGCTTTGATACTTTGCTGGTCGGCGTGCTGGCGCGCTCTGGATGAATAGATAAGCGGATGTGTGTGTGTGTGGTGTGTGTTTTTTCCTTCCCCTTAGCAAAGATTACATTATAAATTTATAAGATATAGTATCTGACGTACATTTGTGAATTTTAAAAATACCTGAAATGCAAAACAAAGCTTAAGGAAAGTTGATGAAGGTGACAGTTCAGGAGGTTATATCACCTCCTATTAGAGCTTCTCTAAGTACTCTTGATAATTTTGGTATGCTTTTCATATTTTTTTTTTTAATTGCAGACTTAATTCTGCTAGTTCTGCTTACACAGACTGGAATTTGTTATTCTTATGTGAAACATGAATGACTAATAAAGTTGCTAGTTTTTATTAGTTGAGCATCTAACTCAAGTAAATATTCTGGGAGAAAAGCATCAGAACTTAATTGTTTTCTATTAGCAGTTCAGTGGACTGAATAATGCACAAGGGATTTATTTAAATTTGCTTTAGTTATCCCTATGTGCAAATGAATTGAGGTCCTACCGAGACTTTTTCTGGTCTATGGTGTTGCATTTTTGTGTATTCTGGTAGAAATCAAAGTTTCCCAACAGAAGAAAAATGGACAGCTTTATCATTATTATATCTGATGTTCTAGTCCAGCAGTCTGGGGAAGCCCAGTGTCAAAGTGGTGTGTTCGCTGGGTCGTCTGTTTAGCCAACACGACAGCCTAAACAAAAGCAAGAAATGAACAAAAGTAAAACCAGGCTTTATTGTTTTTGCCTTTTTACATATTGCCTTTTAGAGTGAAACGTGTCAACCACACTGCTAAGAGGAATAAATTCATTTGATCTATCAGAGGAAATTGAGGGCTCTTGATTTTGAGGTAAAGTGACTGTCAGGGTACAGTCCCAGTTTGAAATTTTGTTTTGGTGGTAGCTGCTGAATAACTTAGAACAATCCCTTTTTTCCCTCTTTTTTTTCTTTTTCTTCCTACTTGTGTGGGGTGGTTATAGGCTTTGAGGGTCAGCAGGTTGTGAGACATTGTGCAGAGCCACACTAGCAAGGCCCTAATTCCAATGTCCAGATGCTACTGTGCTGTACTCCTTCAGGGCCTCAGCGACAGTGCCCAACTGCCGTGCCATACGGAATGGAACGGCAGTGCTCACGCTGTAACAGCTTGTGGCACACCCCTTTGAGGCTGAGCACGTCCCACTTTGAAACACCTGTCAAAATAGCATTTTCAATTAAAATTAAATTGAGCTGGGTAGCTTTGTGAAGCACATAACTTTATTTTTGTATGAATAAGATCCTATGTGGTGGTTTAAGGTAGACTCACTGGAAATTGAGGGAGTTGTACCCTTTTCGTTGGTGTTGCTTATTGCAATACCCCCCCTCTAGATTATCTCTTGGAGCCTGTATCTACTGATATATGTGTCAGGCTATTTCTTGCTTTCTTTGCCCTGGTACTCAGCTTTAAATCTGGTTAAAGAGAATTCTGTATGTGGTGGGGAACAATAATTATCAGTTTAACAAGGACACTACTACATACTCTTAAGTACCAGTATTTTTCTGATACTTTATGCTACACTTCTAAGTGATGTGTCAAGATGCTGAGTTAGTATAGAAACTAGTTTCCTTACAACTTAAATAAACAATTTACATTACATAAATTGTAAAAATTATCTTTCCTCATCAGAAATTCTATGTTGTCATGGTTATACAAAGAATTGACTCTTCAGTGCTAGTCATGCTCTTAGAGGAGCTATATAATTAATGGGTGTTTTCCTGTTGTGGAGAAATGGCAGACTAGCTAGCTTCTTAAAGTTGCTTTATTTTTAGAACTAGATTTCCTAAAATCATGTTTGTTCCCAATACAGTTTTGTGACTTGACTTGTAGAAGAAATTGTATGTGAATGTACTTATTTTCTAGTGATTAAACTTTTGATATGTTGTACGAGTCTTAAGCAAACTTTAATAATTGTTTTTCTTAAAACATAATACTTAGCCTCTTTGGAAGCTGTTAGATAACTGAATACTTACGTAAACTTTTTTTTTCCTTTCATAGACAATGATTTGCAAGGAACAAATAGTTCAGGATCGTTGGGTGGTCTTGACGTTCGTAGAAGAATCCCTATAAAGCTTATCTCAAAACAGACCAATAAAACCAAACCTGCACCTCGAACTCCAAGAAATATGAACAGGATGCCTTCGAAGACACAAGCTGGTGATGAAGGTAAATTAACATAAATACTAGCCCTGTAGTAAGGTAGTATTCTGCAGCATTGTTCAAGACTTTATTCAGTCTTGGAGACCTAGAGTCCAAGGTTCTGTCCAAGTGCAAAACAAGTTTCAAATTTCTGGGTACTGCTGCACTATAAAGATTAAATGGTGCGTGTTCCCAAAACAGGCTGTCTTCCTCTTTTGATTGTACCTTTTTGTAGAGTGGGCTCGGCACACTGGAAGTGCTCTGGCATTGATGATTTCAGTATAGAATGACACGTGCTCTTAATAGCAGCCGGTATCAGTTGGGAAAGTGTTGTGGTTGGCTCATGTCTTTCTTCTCTTTCTTCCTTCCACAGAAGAATTTGATTATAACAAAGAGGAGCGGTACGAATGCAAAGGAGGTGAAATGTTTGGCAATCAAAGGAGATTCCCTGGACCCATCTTTTGGGACTATAAGGTAAAGTCATGGATGGGAAGTCATGAATCTTTTGTGAATCATACTGAACTGTAAGTAGTCCTGGTAGATACCCTCTTAAATAAACGTGCTTCCATTATTTTTGACTGACTGAAAATATATCCTCTGCTTTCTCATGTTTGTGGTGTTCTTACTTCCTTCTCAGCTAATTCAGAAATAATGGGTGAGTTGGTGATAATTGAAACGAGAAGCTTTAGTGATGTGGGGTTTTGTTCTCCCACCCCTTTCTCTCTCCTATCAGATAAACTTGCTGGGGGAAAAGGATGATACACCAGTCCATTTCTGTGATAAGTGTGGATTGCCTATCAAAATGTATGGACGCATGGTGAGTGAAATTATCACTGGAAGATGTAGCCATGGTTCCCCACTAGGTAAAATTAGGTTTTTACTGTATCTCTGTGAGGCCTCTGGAGGTTACTGGTTTCAGCAGGCCTCTGAATAAATAGCAGAAGAATATCGGGATGGAACTGGGGGCCATCACTGCTGAAGTGTTTTTGTACCATCTGTCTGGCTGGTTTTACTTTGCCCCCCTGATTTAATGAAGTAATTTTGAAAACATTAAACAAAAAATCGGAACGCTGTCACTGTCTCTTTATCTCAATTGAAGACTTGCAGTGACATTAGAAAACACTGTTCACTTTTACATCCCTTTAAAATTAGTGTCACAAAATCCCTGAGATTAGATTTTGAAGTGTGATGTAACAGGCTCCAGGAACTGACTTAATGGCAGTTAATGCTTTTAAAACTCCTTCCCTGCCAGCATGACAAGTGTAATTAGATTGCGTGTCCAGCTTCTGTGAATGTTCAGTGTTGCTATTACTGCAAGACTGAAACTTTTGCCTATACATTTTCACAACACTTAAAAAACCTGAAGAAGCCTACCGCAAAAAACCCCAAACTCAAGACCAGCTGTTTTAGAAAGTTTCTATTCAAAGATGCTGTAAACCTGCTAACTACCACTATGCCTGTTCACCTCTAGGTAACTTAGTTACTTCTATTATTAGAAATCATGTGCTGGAGGGAGGAACTGTATTCTGCAGAATGACATGGATATTTAGATACAATGTCTTAACAGCCATTTTTGGTCCTAGATACCTTGCAAGCATGTTTTCTGCTATGACTGCGCTATTCTACATGAGAAAAAGGGAGACAAGATGTGTCCAGGGTAAGTTATCTCAAGATTTATTACGGAAATGTATCTTATTTCAGATACTGTATTAACATGGTTCTTGCTTATGTACATTTAGCAGAGGCAGTAGAGTACTCTCTACTACACCACTTGATTGTAGTTTCCATTTGATATTTTGGGATCGTAAGAGATGGGTGTTTACTTTGCTGTTGAAGTATAAGTTAGATAACCTGTTATTGCTCTAACCTGAAAAGGAATAAACAGCAGTTTAATTAGTGAGAGTGACTTGGTAAGTCTTAATGCGCAGAAGGAATTTGTGAGAGAGTGTGTTTCTATTTATAAATTTCCACCTCATGAAATTTTTATACTCTTTCATAGTTGTGCTTGGAGACTTAAAACCTAGATAAACTTCAAAATTGATGAAATGTTTCTTTCATTTCTACAGTGGGGGAAAAATTGTGAGTTCTAATTTGGGTAATTGTGGTAAACTGGTTGACTTTTAACAAAAAAAAAAAAGATTGCAGACTGAGCTCTCTGTGATGACAGTAAACCAATATTCTCTTCTGGTTTAGCTGTAATGAACCTGTGCAACGAATCGAGCAGTGCGTACGAGGGTCTCTCTTCATGTGTAGCATTGTTCAAGGGTGCAAGAGAACTTATCTGTCACAGAGGGACTTACAAGCTCACATCAACCACCGTCATATGAGAGCTGGGAAGCCTGTTACTCGCCCTCCAATCGAACCTGTACATCCTCCTATTGCCCCACCGCCTGCTGAAATTCCTGAGCGCTTCATAATGCCACCCGAGAAGCATCATATGAGCCACATTCCACCAAAGCAGCACATCATGATGCCACCACCCCCTTTACAGCACGTGCCACATGAGCATTATAACCAGCCACACGAAGACATTCGTGCGCCTCCTGCAGAGATGTCCATGGCTCCACCACCACCTCGCCCGGTCAGTCAGGACACCTTCCGCATTTCGACGAGAAAACACAGCAACTTAATAACTGTCCCTATTCAGGATGATTCAAATTCAGGTGCTCGAGAACCACCTCCACCAGCCCCCGCACCTGCTCACCATCATCCTGAATACCAGGGGCAACCAGTGGTATCGCACCCTCATCATATTATGCCTCCACAGCAACATTATGCGCCACCCCCACCACCACCTCCACCAATAAGCCATCCGCTGCAGCATCCTCCCCAGGCAGCGGGTACTCCTCACATGGTATATAGCCAAGCTCCTCCACCACCAATGACCTCTGCTCCTCCTCCAATAACCCCACCACCTGGACATATAATTGCCCAGATGCCACCATATATGAATCATCCTCCTCCGGGACCTCCCCCTCCTCAGCACGGAGGCCCCCCTGTAAATGTAAACGCACCCCCTCCCCATCACTATAATCCTAACTCTTTGCCACAGTTTAGTGAAGATCAAGGAACTCTTAGTCCCCCTTTCACACAGCCCGGGGGAATGAGTCCAGGGATCTGGCCAGCTCCAAGGGGGCCGCCGCCACCTCCAAGGATGCAAGGGCCTCCTGCTCAGGCCCCACTTCCTGGACCACACCACCCTGATCAAGCCAGGTACAGACCCTATTACCAATGATGGGAGCAGTTCCATGAATAGAGAGTGCTATGAAGAGGATAAAACTATATAAAACAGCCTTTAATCAATTGTTTTGGGGTTATTTTGTTGTGGTTATTTTTTTAAAATACTATCTTTTGACTGTAAGACATTTTGGGGTTTGAATCTTAAGTGATTTTTAAGCCTTGGCTGTAGGACTCCGAATTCAAATATTCTGTAGTGCTAAAATAAGTGGCTTAGTAGACCACGGTTGCATTTTAACAGAACTTCTGTCTCTAGTGTGGCTAAATTGTCCTAAGATGAACACTTGTAATATTATTTCCTGGAGAAAATGAACACGTGTTGTACCATTCTGAATATTGTTTTTGTTAAATCCAGTGTTTAGTTTCACTTGTGATACGTTTTTGTTAACCTGTGTACAATAATTAAATTGAAATATGGTTGTAAAAGTGGTGGGTTTTTATATGAAGTTAACACAGACGTAGTTCCGGGACACCATTTTGGCACTAATACTTTCCAAATGGGCAGTGTAATGAAATATTAAGGGCACTTTTAATATTTCTCCTACTAACTAACTGTTACCATTACTTATAACAAATTCAGGCTATGCTGAAATAATGGCAGTAGAAATCAGACATGCAGAAAACTGCATTTCAGCTTTTTCTTTTTTTCTTTAAACTTATGCAGCAAAATAAATTTGTCAGAAATACAGCTTTGGGCATGCCAGGAAACGATGTAATAATGTATTACGGGGTTTTGGTGGTTTGTTGGGTTGGGTTTTGGGGATTGGGGTTTTGGGTTGGTTTATTTTAAAGCTAGTTTTGATTCGGAAGGTTCTGTTTACATGTACACTACTCACTGGAGTTGAATTCAAACTATTGTGTTTACCTATGGCTATGTTTGTGTGGAAGTGGCTGTGAATTGGCTTGCCATGTCTGTGAGAAGCAGATGATTTTAGGTAGGGAAGTGGTGTTTACCTCTGTCACTTTATAGAATATGTACAGTAGGAAAACTTCCCATTTGGATAACCTGAAAGAAGTGGTCTGAAATCCCGTATGTAGATACAAAGAAATAAAAAGCTACACATCCTTTATCTGTTTTGATTTTGTGATACAGATTTAACTGAACAGACAATAGTTAAGTGTTTTGTTTTGTGTTTTTCGAAAAGTAGCAATATAAGCAGGCCTTTAGGTCTGTTTTGACCTAAAATTTATGTTTTATAAGCATACTTAAAATAAGTATGAAATGAGAATGTGGGTTTTTTAGTGCAGCTGGTAGCAGAACTGGACAATACTAAGACAGTACTCTGTTGTTTGGAGTGCTTATCTTTGCATTTCTAATCAATGTTAGTGCTGAACCTTTGTTTTTTCAGAATGCCACATTTCTAACAGTGGTGCTTTCAGATGAAGAAATCCTTTGGTTTTTTTTTAAGGTTTGTAATTTCCTACTGTTCTTGCAGAATCTGGAACCATCTTAAAGCCTCAGTGTTACTGTTTATCTTGTAAACTTTTTTTTCCTGTCTCGTAAGTGTTAAATTTATGAAAGAGCTTTGGCAGTGCAACATTCCAAGTTCAGGTAATTTTATGTATAAACTGTATTTTTAATTACCAGAGCAAGCGCTCTTTAGATTTACTCTCTGTCCTTGACTGCCATTGATTTCCTTGTGCACATGGGCAAATCTTTTAAATATTTTCAAATAAATACTTCTTCAGAGATGTGCAAATAAATCCTGAGATATACAAATAAATTCTGGGGTATGCAAATGGCCAGTAAGTGTCAATGGATTAAACGTCTGCTTAGCTGTTATATTCTTCTTTCAAAAAGTTCTTTGTTTTGGTTTCTCTGAAAAAATAAATAATTTTAAATAAAACACACTGGCGAAGAAAAAGAGGCTGATTGTGATAGTGTGTTACGGTATGGGATTGGTTGAAAATTTACTGTTTTAGTGTGCATGAAGGCGAAAATGACTGCCAGCATGATTTTGTTTCAGTGACTTAAACACATGAGGAACTTTTAAGGATCCCCCTTCGTCACTGTGAAATTACTTGCTAGGAGGTAGGCTTAAGGCAGATTTCTATTACAGCAGAAAACTTCATCTGGGAGGAAACCTGCAAGTCTGATTAACATTCTTTGACTGCAAACGAGGTCCGACATACTCGTTTTAAACAGAGTTACTGGCAGTTCTAGGTACCAGCTTCGTTTTGTTCAGGCTGAGAAGGTTTATGAGGACACCATGTGACAGACTTCTGTGCAGGGGGGTGCATCACCTTCACCCATGCACTCTGGAAAATGAGACATTCTGAAATCAGCTGTCACCTGTCACTCGTAGGTGGTGAGGAAATAAGGCAACCCTTTCCATCATACTAGTTTTTAGAAATAAGTCAAGCTGCATACTTTCGTTCCGTGTTACCCAGGCTGTTGTGAAGCAGATGGAGGGCTCAAACTTAATTCTTGGTTCACTGCTGTTCTTGAAGTTACTGATGAAGTGCTTTTCTGACAATGCTGAGGCAGTTGAATTGATTTAGAGAAAATGGAAGCCTTTGCTCTATCAGAAAGCACAAAAGATAAATGTATATCGCTGTAGAGAATACGTGAGAATTTTTTTCTGTTTATATTTGAGGCAAAAGTGACATGTCATGTGGACAATGACTTACTACCCAAAAAATCAGTGGGGTCTCGTGTTGTTTAAGTGATTATGGATCAAAAGTCTTTGTGACAGAGGACTTGCTGAAAAGTATCTTGTGTGGGCAGGACTTGGACTTGGGACAAATTTCTGTCTTGCTTATATAGGAAGACCTAAATCCATTTTTTTATTTAAGTCTTAAGCATGACTATGTACTGTTGAAGCTTTCATATTTATGAAGTTAAAAATATGTCTGCATTGGTCAAAACCTTATGTTAACAGTCTCTTAAATTTGTTTATGGGATTTTGGGCATGTTTTGAGTTGGTTTTGTTTGATTGGGGTTTTTTTTTGCAAAATAGCCTGATCGTTTCAGTGTGAAGTTCAGAAATGCCATATAATGTATTTAATTGTATAATTGACAGTCTTAGGAATAGTGAGATGTACTTGTGAATTCTTCAAATTCCTACTTATGTCTTCCTTTAAAGACAAACATTTGAATTGGATTAATTATGCTTATTTTTAATAAATATCCCTGTCTATGGCAGCGATCTCCCTCTTGAGGCATTGCCGAGCAGATCACAAGGTTTGAAGAGAATTCTGATGGCATTTAAATTTGTCAGCCATGGTAGGTGCCTCTAATAATGTCACATAAGGGAATGAAAAGGGGTTTGATGATGGTTTGTGTCCACCATGGAATGAATAAAAAGGACACTAGCAAGTGGCCTGAAAACATCCATGGTTTAGATGCTTGTCTCTGTACCCTTTATCTTCAATTCCATCTGTAACTTTGCTTAAAGGATTGCCTGCAACCATGCATACTTTACAATGAGCAGGGCAATTGCATGAACATGTACTTGGTTTGGTGTTTTTTTTTTTAGATGCTATTAACAAAAAGATTGGTCACCTAGATGTGTTCAGTGATATTTTTCTTGCCTTTTAAAAAAGAAAAAAGAAAAATTTGAATTAAGTTTTTAAAAACCTGATCCTAGAGACTTAGAAAACCTAACTGAATGGAGTTTCCATTTCTTTTCACTTACGGCTCTCAAAGGCATGTCAAATTCTGTTTGTTAAAACCTAAAGTGGGAGTAACTTGTATTCATTCCATGTCAGTTTGCACACATAGCAAGGCAGAAAAATGGTCTCCTGTATTATATGAAGTCAAGTATTTTCGAAAGCACCTTTGTGGATACACTGTCTCTCTGGATTGAGTCTGAACACGCCTTTCTTTTCTTTAAATGTTTTCTGCTCTGTAAAACTTGTGTCTGTTTTTTGTGTGGTTCCTCTCTGCGTGCGTTGCCAGTGTCGCTGACAAAAGCACGCCCAGGTTCACATCGGAGGGTATCGTCAGGCGGATTGCAGTTGCAATGTAATATTGAATGTACTGGGAAATAAGTTTGAACTTTCCCTGTTCATATATATGACACTACGGAGTCCAATGTAGCAGAGAAATGTACAAGGTTTATATTAATTTTCATCCTGACTACATTTTTAAAGGAAATGTCAGTGTCATAGAAGTTGTATTTCCCCTGTTTTTTATCTTATGGTGTTAAAAACAATTCTTAGCAATTGTTCAATCACCTTTATATAGTAATGGTGCCTTCACTACTGTGTGGTTCTTCACTGTGTTCAGGTAGGTTCTATTCACACTAATGAGTCATACTGGCCAGTTTGTAAACTGAACTAGCTGCATTTGTTTGGGAAATGTGAGTGAGAGTAATGAAGTTTAAAGCTCATTTTAGTCCTGACTTAACCATAAGACAGAGCGGCTTTAGAAACTTTACTACTCTTTACTACTCTTAATTGTATCTCCTTGTTCTCTAAATATGGGGCATTAATTTGTTGGGTTTTTTTAAAAATTGTTTTCAGTTTTGACTCAGTTCATGAGTACAAGAGATTAAATGATTAAAAACTCCAACATACGTCTGGGAAGGTGTGGGTGGAATAGCGGTAGGAAACTGGTAAATTAGTTCAGTCATCTCGAAACTTTTATCATTCATTTTGATAATGGAATGCAAGCAATTCTCAAGTGCTAGTAGGACTGACTGATACACTTCTGTTAATGGAGAGTGGTACTGTGTGCAAGTGGGCAGGAATGTTTCAATTTTTATGTAGCAATGTTTCACAAAAGAACTTCAGCTTAACTGCTGAAAACCCCAAATGAGTAATTCTAAATAGATATGAATATGTCAGTTGACAAGAGTTTTTCTTCAGTTTGATTTGTGAAAACAAATGCTTGAACACAGCTCCAAGATAATTTATGAATTATTTCCTACACTAAATAAAAACACATAAGTACTAATGAGAAGTCCTGCACTTGCTTTTTGCCATTTCTGGATCAGGTAAACTTTCAGGCATTTTCTCAGGAAGCAGAAAGGAGCAGGTGTTTTCTCAGGAAGAGTGAGAAAAGAAAGCTGTCCACATTCAGCACAAGAATGAGGAACAGAGAACTGTGAGTGATATTTCTTTCCAGTAAAGAAGTGCTTAAAGATATTTTTTCTGTAATAGAAATATAGTTTGCAATTAAAAAAAAATACAGGTTTGCATCTTACAATATTCTCTCCATTGGGCCCAAGACCTTGCATAACTGAATAACTGTGAATTTTTTGTCTCTATTTCACACAGGCAATCTCTTCTGCACTGCAAAGTGAAACCCAGGCCCGAGAGTAGGCTTGAGTGTCAAACAGACTCCACGGCTTCTGTATTTTCTGTCCCTCTTGCTGTCTGTAAAATGCCTGTTATTTAGTTACCAAGCATCTGCACCGTGCTAAGGAGAGGTAGGTTTGCGATATGTGATGAATTGACACCGTATCTGTCAGCTCTCCAAAAAGAAAGGTATGAAATTTGCCTTCTAGCTTATTCTCGAGTAAAGTATTAAAAAGTGGCACCTGGTATTGCTCTAACTGAGCAGTGACAGCGCTCAGGGAGAGCAATATCTAGATTTCCAAAGGTGCCTGTCTCAAGAATAAGCCAGTAAATCTGCATCGCCACAATATCCTACAACAGAGCAAGAGGTATGTGCTACAGTCTGCATGAGGGTAAACTGCCCAGAGAAACATTAATATTAGAGTAACAGTTGAATGCAGAAATAACCAGTACCTGGATGGGGAAATCACATAAAGCATCAGAAATACAGTGTTCATCTTGTCAACATTAAAAAATAAAGGAGTAGGGTGATTAAACAGGATGTCAAGTAGCTGGTAGGGACATGTGCCACAGGAGTACAAGGCTCTCTGGCTTAAGGCTGTCTAGGTATTGTGTCCATTTAAGAAATGTTGAATAGTTTTGGAAGGGGCATTTATGCTCTGGGGCACTGTGCTATTTCATAAGTCATTAGTATTGAAATTAATTGTTCTGAGGAGGGTAATTTAGAAAAGAATATTTTTTTCTTAACCTGAAGCCTGCCATCAAATCCAATATGGTTTTGAAGTGCAATGTGTGGTATTTCACCAGACTGACTTGCTTTTGCTGT